CATCTTTGTAGTGGGATGCAACGTCAAAAGGGGCTTTCCTAGGCTTATAAAGGAACCATTCTAGCCCCCAATTTTAAGCAGCATCCAAACGGGCTGTGAGCTATTCAAGTTGTAAAAATAGGAAAAGCAGCATGTAAAAGTTTGCTCTTTGGAAGGGGCCGTGATGAATAAGCGGCCATAAGAAAATGAGGTATTGTGGGCAGGTGGTATAAAAAACTCCAAGAAGTTAGCGTGAAGCCATAACTGAAGCAACCAGAGGGGACCTGAACCCTTTTTCATCTTCGACGACACTGTTTCCTATATCCCACAATAGAGGTAGGCAAATATTACAAAAGCAAGAGCGTAAGAAACCCCTGCGACCAGATTGACGACCAATAGTATGTACTCCTTAGTAACCTTGTAAGACGAGGTGAAGAAGAAGAATTGGTTAAGCTAGTAAAGTCGGAATGAAATGTGTTCCTGGTTCGACACTGAAGAGTCATTATAGCCGCGGTAGACTGTAATGAAAAGAGAATAGACAGTAATCTTCTTGTTTTGTGTGTCAGTTGGGAAGGTATAGCTCATCTTGGTATAGGTGAGAAGAACGTTAGCCTCAGTCCTAAATGGAGGAAGGTCGAGAAGGCTCCGAGCTTTGTCTAGAGACATCTCTTTGAAAATAGGCTCCAGGGCCATTTCTAAATAAAATGAGTCAAAGAGAGGGTTAAAAGTATGAAGAGTGAACTGGGTAGCTTGCACTCGTAGAAGAGCCGCTTCAAGAGCAACAAGACGAGGAGGCTTTATTGAAGAAGAAGAAGAGAAGGTCTAAATAATGACAAAACAACAGGTCTGAGGATGGATTATATAGGCGCAAAGAATGAGCTATCACAATAATGAAAAGAAATGGACAGATCGCATGCCAACCGTTTCCTGCATATTTGAAAAGACGAAGGATAGATTGAGGGGTTACAAGTGGAAGACTAGCCACAATCCCTGAGCTTCACGCCCAATGACAGGATGGCAGCCATACAAAGTAAGTGTATAGGCAAAGCTTAAATTCAAAAGAGCCAAAACAACGTCCTGAATATGAAGTATTCAGTCATATCATTTTTTTTTGGGGGGGGGGGGGGACAATGTTTATAACAAAAAATAGCAAAATTAGAGGGTGACATGTAGAAAAAATCCAACAGTCATGAAAGAGTATGTGAGAGGCCACAATTGATAGAACGATTAAGGAAGTAGAACTCTAAGAATCTCAAAAAATAGGGAGATGTGACATCATGAGCTGACAGTTGGAGACAGTTCAGTACACGTCTACGCATCTAGAGGGTAAAGGCCATAACCACAACAATGACCGAAAAAGATGGCTTTGACAGTTGGAGGTCATCCCTATAAATAACAGAGGCCAAGCCACAGAGAAAGGGTCCAAGATCAAACCCAACAAACTTTACATAGAGCATCCTGCCTTATACTCACTTATTCTTGCTCCCAAACAACTTTATTTTTCTTATAATCCATTACTTTTGTGATCTTTTATTGGTTTTAGTTAATGCTAAGTACAATACTTGTTACTTCCTTTGAATTCAGTTTACTTGCTACTTTGCATTTCAGTGGTCTTTTTTACGTTTTAGTCAATTTGCGTTGTTAGTTGAGAGATTATTTAAAGTCCTTGAACCCTAAGACATTGAAAAGAACTCAGAGGTAATCTTACGCCTTGCTACAATTGCTTGAACAGTCACGATTTTTAGAATCTCACACTGGTCTGAGTAGATAAGGTCGTACGTATTTGGATCTTAAGTCCAATTGGAATTTGACATGCCCACAATCCAAAAATACGCCAAATAGGAGATAATAGGTCTCCTTGATGTAGCCCTCTATTTGGTGTAAATTTGCACCTAACTCCCCAATTTATGAGAACTTCAAATTGGACCGAAAATCACGCATTGGAGTGTCAATTTAACCCATCTAATTTTGAAACCTATTTTAAGAATTACTTCTTTTAAGAAATCATATTCGACTCTATCATGGGTCTTGTTGAGATCCAGCTTTATTGCAACTGTTTCTTACTTGATCTTCATGGCATGGAAGGCCTCATTAGCCACCAGGATACTATATTGTATTAAATGACTCAGGACAAAAGCTTGATTGGGAGTTATCAATCTGTTGAGCACCAATTTCAACTGGTTAACTACCACTTTAAATATGATCTTATAGAAGAAGGAGCATAGTAAGATGGTCCTGAATTGGGTTAGGCTCTCTAGGGTTTTCTCTTTCGGAATCAATAACTATGTGTTTTGTTAATCTCTGGTGCCATAGCTCCTTTGTTGAAAAACGCCCTCAATACTTGACATTCATCACTTCCAACGATATGCCAATGTTTGTGATAGAAGATCCCAAAAAAGCCATCGGGCCTTGGCTTTAAAGGCTCCTAATTGAATTGTCGCCCTCTTTATTTCATCATCAGTTAATTCTTTCAAAAGGAGTTCATTCATTTTCTTTAGTCACTTGATTTGGCACCACTTCTAGAACATCTTTAAAATTTTTATGTGGCTTGCTTTGAAGAGTTGTTGAAAATACTTTTTGATATGTGCATTTATCTTTTCTTCTTCCTCAATCCACATCCCATCCTCTGTTTTCAATCTGAGTATTTGATTCCTCTAACAAGGTCATGTGAACAAATTTTGAGTATCACCAGCCCTTAACAATGAATCCTTAACCTCTGAAGCTAGTATTGTTCTTCCCCCTCCAAATTGTGTCGATCCTAACCTGAATTTTAGCCACTTTTAACAAATTCTTTTTCGAAGGTGCCGCTTGTTGTGTTCTGAGTAGGTCAGCATGTAAGGTCTCCAAAATCTTCCTTGCTCTAACTTCTTAGAGTGGCATTACACTTGTTCAGCTTTGTGTCCAACTAGTGCATAGGTATGACCACTTCCCCCGTTTTCCCATTGTTCTCAATCACTTTTTCACATTTTTCGAACTCCATCCACATAGCATCGAATTCAAAATGGTACGGGGCTTTCTTTTAGTTGAAATCAAATTTTGTGATGATGGGGCTATGGTTAGACCCCATTCTTGGTTCATGAATTACTAGAGAATATGAGAATTCCTCCCTCCATTTTGGGTTTGCCATCACTCTAGTTGAATTTGCACATTGACATTGCTGGCCTATTATTAGACCATGTAAATTTAGGTCCTTAGAAGTCCATCTCCATCAGCTTACATTCGAATAGTAGACATTGTATCTCATTGATTTTACTAGCCCCTGAAACTCTACCTCATTGTTTTTCCCAAATTGATCCATAAATATTAAGATCCCCAATTATTAGGCACGACATTCGTATGTATTATGCTAGGGATTTCAAGCATTGCCAAACCTTCTAAGAACCAATATTCATGTGGATAACACATGGAACCAATGTTATCCGGATTGTGGGTTACTTTGATACATGGTACGAGTACGAATAAATGGTACGACATTTTCTTAGGTACTTGGTACGATAAGATAGGTTTAATTGGTATAGTATTTTGAGCCACAATTCATTTTGAAACTTTTATGTAAATCGTTTTCACTATTATACAATATTATATATTACTAAACATTCATAAACACTAAGTTAATTACCATTTATCTTTTAGTTGTGCTTGATTTTCTATTTTATATATAATATATAATTATAAATCTATATACATGTAGTCAATTAATATGTATTTTATATATAATATATAATTATAAATCTATATACATGTAGTCAATTAATATGTATTTTATATTTATGCTATATGTTCTAAAGTAAATTGATTTAGGGTTAGTAGATAGAAAGGAGCTACATGTTGTCTTTGTTCATTCCATTTTCTTGAAAATATATTATTTCATCGACATTTTGTCAGTTCCATTTTTTTCTGATGATGTTTTAAAAAAGATAATTGCCCACGCAACGTCTTTTTTGTCCATTTTGGTAATCTAGATTACCAACTCACTTCGTTTGAGATCCATGTACCCAGATCGTGGGTCGTCAAAAATTTAGTGAATTGTGGTAATCATGCATGGAACACCATGTATGAATAATGTTCTTGCTTTTAATTCAACTTCCACATGTACTCTATCTCCACCATAGAGCTAATCCACTAGAAAGTCCAATTGGATCCAAATATACACTATAAAAAATCTGAAAATGACTTCTTATTCTTTCAAATTTTTCGCTTTATTTGATATCACATAAACAGATGATTGCTTTATCTTATAGGAATTGAAACTTTGCTTGCACTTTTTTTACAAAAATACATGGTGTTGTGCTAGATTTCAAATATGCTCTATCTCTTTTTTTTAAGAACTTAGGTACCGTTTTGATGATTTTGAACTTTGCTATACTATGCTAGGGTAAGTTTATTTTTGGTGGTCGAATGTTCTACTAGGTGGTGATAGCTATAAAATAGGTGTGTGATAGTCTTTGGATTGGTTACACAATGTATTCAGGCGTACCATCACTAGTATATATAGATATAAAAAATGTTTGGGTTTTTGCGCTGCATCCTTCGACCATTGTTAATAATGTTTGGATCCTATTTTTGAGAAACTTATTCTTTTTTGTTTATAATTAATTTTGATTAATGAAAATTTTACAAAATTTAGGTTCAATTTTGGGGCTGGACGCAAAATTGAACCATATTTTTGATTTAATTTATTTTTTAATAATAAAAACTCGATTTCAATTTAAGTTTAGCCAAATTATATAATTTGAGTTCAAAAAACTTAATCATGGTTGAACTTGAGTTGAAGTTGGTGGACTTGAGCTCGGATTGAATTGGCCCTAAGATTTTTTTTATCTTGCCTCCTCTAATTTCACCTCTTCACCGGCCCAAGTCGCAGTAACCCATTGACACTATTTTTGGAAGCAATTGCACACCTCAAACAGACACCTTTTAAGTCCCACGCCGAAACCCCACTACAGTGTAAAAGGACTTGATTCTCGCACTCGCACTCGCTCTCGCTCTCGCTCTCGCTCTCGCTCTCGCTCTCGCAGAACATGCGAATCTTAGAAAGGTTCATCTACAGACCCAATATCTACTCGCAGTCTCCAATCCCATTTGGCCCATTCAACTCCTCCACACAAAAACGATGGAAGAAACCAGCAAACACAGCTCAAACGCGCCTAGAAAACAGAACAAGAGACCTGAAGCTCGACAAGCTCATGGCTCACCTCCACAAACTCACCCTCATCCTCGACGTCTACACCCTCATGTCCACGAGAAAACGAGGACCCTTTGTGTCCGTACAACTGATGTCTCGCTGGAACCACCTTATCGGCCTCAATGTCCCCATTGGTGCTTTCCTCCGGAAGTACCCCCACATTTTTGAGGTATTTACTCATCCAATAACGAGGAATATATGCTGTAGATTTACTTCCAAATTTATTGGTGTGATTCAAGAAGAAGAGAGTATTGTTGACGAATTGGAACATGAAAACGTAAGAACAATCAAAAGGCTTTTGATGATGTCTGTAAATGGTTCTCTACATATTCATGCATTGAGGTTGGTTAGAAGAGAATTGGGTTTGCCTGAAAATTTCCGAGAATCTATATTGAGAAAGTATGATAATGAATTTAAGTTAGTTGATTTGGAAATAGTGGCATTGGTCAATAGAGATGAGAATTTGGGTGTGGCTGAGGTGGAAAAGTGGAGAGAGAAAGAGTATAGAGAGAAATGGTTGAGTGAGTTTGAGACCAAGTATGCATTCCCTATTGATTTTCCAACTGGGTTTAGGACCGAAGGTGGGTTTAGAGAGAAATTGAGGAATTGGCAAAGACTTCCTTATGTGAAACCTTATGAGAAAGTGGAGGTTGTTCGGGTTCGCACTTGTGGAGGGATTGAGAAGTTTGAGAAGAGGGCTGTGGGAATTCTTCACGAGTTATTGAGCTTGAGCGTGGAGAAAATGGTTGAGGTTGAACGGCTGGCTCATTTTAGGAGGGATCTTGGGATTGAGGTTAATATCCGCGAGCTTCTTTTGAAGCACCCTGGGATATTTTATATATCAACTAAAGGAAATACTCAAATGGTCTTTCTAAGAGAAGCGTACCGTAAAGGGTGTTTGGATGAGCCAAACCCAATTTATGTTGTTCGAAGGAAAATGGTAGACCTTATTTTTCTGGGATCTCGAAATACTAGAGAATTAAGAACTCAAAAAGGCAAGGAGGAGACTAAACAAGAAGTACAGTGCAATGAAAATGGAGGGGACAGAAGGGAAGGTGACTTTGTTATTCCAGTTTTAGAGTGTTTGAATGATCAAAATACTGAAGACAATCATATTTATATCTAGAGAAGAGCTTAGTGGTTTCTATGAGAGTTCAATTAGTCCAAGTGAGAGATAGGTGATACATAAGCTGCATTTGGCAAAGGATGACAGATTATATTGAGTAAACATGTGATTATCTCCTCTCGGTTATTACTCTTTGATGTCAGAATGTTGCTTAGTGTTGACATGGAATTTAAAAAGTTGCTTCCCACAATTGGTTACTCAGGACAATAACTTGGTCAGTGCTATTGTCTCTCAAACTTATTTTGTTCTCTCTATCATTCAAGTATTAACAAAACTTACTCTGCCCTCCTAGATTTCAAGATATATTATTTGTGCGGACATATTAACTTGTTTTCCCCAGTATTTGTGATTTTATTAATTCTTAATGCCGTCTTTTGCATGCAGGCACTCTTTTGTGTGATTGATTGTTTGTTGGACGGAGTATGAGTGTTAATGACAGGTCAAAGGGTTTTTGGCAAAGTCTTGTTAATATTTTGAACTTCTTTAATAAATTTATTTTTAAGGTGACACCTTATTTTCATATTGTCTGGATACTACAATAATTTCACTATTATAGAAAATTAGAAATAACAGTTTGCAGGTCATTCTCTTGAAAAGGAGCTAAAATAAGTTTTGGCCAAACCCCACACAATATAATCATTTTTAATGTGGCTTCTATGGTCAGATTTTGTTTGTTTGAAGGGCCCCCCACACCTGTGTATCTCCTTTTCTCCTGATTTGACCATGCACTCCTATTAACCATTATTTAGTTTTTTTGTCTGAAAACAGAATTCTGGACCTTGGCTGGAATGTCCAGCATTAGTTCATAATTTCTTCACAGGACTTGTAACTCCGTCCCTGTGAGCAGCAAACACTTCTCAATGACTTGTAAAACTTAATGTGTTCTAGGAATTGCTCCAGGGACAAGCCTAAGTTTTGGGAAGACACTAATACAAATCTGCCGACTAAGAGCAATAAGATGGAATATTAGCCACCCAAGTAAACTGTTTCCTGACATATCTAAAATCAACCCTTTGAGTCCAAATGCACCCAATGTCATTGACTACTCTCTAGAAAATCTTTGACATGGCGGTCCTATTTTGCCCTCCATAGTTCTTAAACGCAATCCACCTTCATAATTTGGTCTACTTTAGAGCAACTGATCGTATGGATCTTACAGACATAGATTTGAAACAATGAGTGTTGAACTTGAGGCTCCTTATCATGATCTGATTGATTAATGGAAAAAACACTATCTACGAATATTGGAATTGCTAATTCATTACCTAGAATTATATTATCACATTCACTTGGATTCTTCAACAATGTAATGCATCAATGACGAGAATATACATCACTATACATGTTGCAGTTTTCTCTTAGTGCTTAACTTTTCTCCTAACTAGAACATCGCCTGGGCACGAGATGCAAAATTACACCCATCATCACAATCTTGTTAAATGAGGTAGCCTCGTGGATGAAACTCTCACTATTGTAGGGTTTACGGGGTCAACTTTACACAATCTCAACTCCCTATGTTGAGAAATTGTTTTGGTGTCCTCTCAATTTGATGAAGTTCTAACATTTTTTAACTGGAACTCGAGTCTTGACAAATTCACCAAAAATGATTCTCACTATGCTTGAATATCTCATTTGGATGTGAAGTTGGGCCCGTGAGTTGGTTCAAGAAGAACAATGGATGAAGCATGATCCCTATGACCTCCTCCATCCCCAAGGGTGGTAGGGACTTCTAGGTTGGATCCCATGTCATTCGACCACGAAGATACTGTCTATCTTTCGAGTATTTAGTGAAATTGTAGCTAAGCGATTGACTTTGAACATTCGTAAGAGCAAAACAGTTAATTCTTGCATCCAATGTTTGAGTTATGACTTATGAGCTTGCTGGTTTCCTGGTCTCCCTTATCTTCGTCATTCGTTTGGAGAACAGTACTCCCCCGGGATTGTTTGTGGTATCCTTGAATCAGATTTTCACTATATGTGAATAAGAAGCTATTCATCCATTTGGACCTAGATTGGTTTGAACGGTACATCAGACAGTATCTGCCATCTTGCTTGACTTGAAGGTCCAGTCAGTTGTTCGTCGGTTGGGACAGTCTATTGAGGGAGGTGGAAAAAGGAGGATATTCACAATAGGTCTATCTTGGTTGCACTTTTGACAAGTATGTGGTACTCGGTGACGATGTTCTCATCATTGATTGTCATGTTGCCAAGGTGTATGAACGCGGAATGGTATCTGTTGGATCTAGGGGTTTAGATTAGTTATCCAAAATCCATGATCTCTATTATAGGTTCAACCGAATTTACTAAGCGGTTTAGAGTGAAGGAGATGAGTTTATGTGATAGTAAAGTGATAGAGATGACACTGGACCTTAGTCATATCTCTATCCGAAACTTGCAAATGTGTTACCATCCCCGCAGTCTTATGACTATTGAATTAAAATATCCTTCTGAGAGGTTTTCGACCCCAACTTGGATTGGAGGAGTTGGCTATTTCCTGTTAGTGATGAACATCCATACTCGTAATGTGCACTTTGTGCATATTCTAGCTACGTGCATCATGCAACATATCCCTTCGAGCTTTGACTTGGTACGGGTATCCCCTTCTCATAAGCTAAAAAAACATGGACACAGGTCACAGATACGACACTACACGAATAGTTGACACAATTTTTCAGAAAAGTAGGACACAAAAACGTTGGGGGACACACTAAATATTAAGTATTTATTTTTTATATATATGATCATATGATGAAATAAAAATACATTAATAATAATCATTCAATTCATCCTTTCATAATTCTAACAATTTACGTCACAAAGTCGTCATATAAAAAAATATTGGACAACTACACTTGTCATAAACATCCATGACCCAAAAACCAACTTCTACAACATGGTTGGAGCTTGGTCTTTGCAGCTATGAAATGTGCGTTTGTTAAGCAAGAGCATCACGTCTCACCTGTTTTAGAGGCAGTAACATATTATGAACATGAAGTATACCTAAGAGTAATACTGATATCCTTAAAACACTCCTAAATCTGAGTAGATATACCTTATAATCCAAGCTTGGATGAATCAACACTTTGATAAACATATTTGCATGTTGGGGGAGTGCAAATCAATACTTTGGCAGACATTTGCAACTTAATTCTCATATTGTATGGATGACATCACAATATGTTCACTTAGTATCTTATCTAGGATAAAGAGACTGTTGACTGCGATGTGCTTAGCCTTGTCATGAATTACTGGATAGCAACAATGTGAAGTGATGCCTAATTATTGCAAAACAAATTTGAAGGAGGTTGAGCTTGGAAGTCGGTCTCATGAAGAAAGTATTGCGATCACGTTGATTCACTTGTAATATATGTTATTACTCTGCATTTAGTTTTAATACGGAATTGTACTACCACAGTTTGTCTTTTATGTTTTCACGAAACCAAATTTTCTTAACGAAAGTAAAATAGCAAGTAGTCGACCTCAAATGGAAGGAGGTTTAGCCCAATCAGTACCAGAAAACCATCTTCCTTAAGATGTTTATTTAGTTGATACAACTCCTCAAGTCTAGGAGTTTGTTTAAGATATTGAAGAATATGGAAAACAACATCCCTATGTGGTACTCGAGGTGCTCCTATAAATTGACTCACAATACTTACCACAAATGCAATATTTGGCTGAGTAAGGTGATGTAATTCATCTTTCCAATCAATCTGTGATACTTGTTTGGATTTGCAAATATTGCACTATTGTCCACCAAAGTGTCTTGTTTGGATCCATTGGAACACTAATTAGTATGCCAACTAGAAAACATATTATCCAACACATCAATGCACATCTCCTATAAGAAGGTAATAACCTATTAAACCTAGCAACTTCGATACCGAAAAGTAGATAAGTTTGTATGAGACGAAGTATCAAAGCAATGCTTCAAAAAAATCTTTCAACTTCACAATATCATCGGCATTATTGCAGGTAATCACTATATCATCCACATAAACAATCAGTATAATGTGATCTTAATTAGTATGTCAGTGGAATACAAAGTGATTTAACTGACACCTAAAGAGACCACATTGCATATCTTGCTTGTGAAAATTTACAAACTTTGGTACTCTCCTCAAGTAAAAAGTCCAGGTGGTTGTTCTATGTAAACCTCCTCATGCAAGCCATCACATGAAAAAGTATTTTTAACATTCAACTGAAACAAAGGCCAATCAATGTTAGCAGTCAAAATTAACCCAAGAATAGAGGCCATCTTAGCAATAGGAGAAAAGTTTCATCATAATCAACACCATAGTCTAGGTGAAGCCCTTAACAAGATGTTGGGCTTTTAGACGGTTAACCGTACTATTAAGATGGAATTCACATTATAAATTTATTGACAATCGGCAAACATTATACCACGGTTTAACGAAAAGAGATTCCAAGTCACATTATGATGCAAGGAAATTCATCTCTACCTCTATAGTTTTTTGCCAGTGGGGATCAGGCAACACATCCTTCTTAGGAACAAAGATAGTAGATGGCTGTGATATAAAATAGGATAAAGCAGGGGATATGACATTATAAGAACAAAATGACTAATAGGATGATTAGTAAGACAAGATTGGATACTTTTTGCAATAGCAATAAGCAATGAATCCCAAACAATAGAGAGACTTGGTTTAGAAAAAGATGAGGAAAACAAAGGGGGCACTTTTGTAGATGGTGTTAGAGGGCAAGAATACAACCTCACTGGAGTCGTAGAACCAACCTACCTCATCTAATGGGCTCTGTGCTTTTGTCGAACATCTAATTTTCTCAAAAAATAAATTTTCCCCTAAGGACTTAAAGCCAGGTACAAGCCCACGAAGTCGATTACCCTTTTTGCAAATTGACTAATCACTGAAGGATTAATTAGGTTTTTTAATCGACTTACTAAGCTAACCAATGTGTGGAGTTAGATGATGTTTTCGGTAATCTTCAATCCACTTTTCAATGCACCAATGGCCTACATGTAAACAACCTTGATGACACATGAGGCTCATTGAGTTTGCCAACAAAACACAAGATTTAACAAAGACAAATGCAAAGTACAAGCTGAGGTTACTTGACAATATCAGTTGCAAAAGTTGGTTTTGGTGCCATTTCTTACTTTGGATGGGTGTATTAAGCGATGAAATGCTTGAGAGAGTTGAAAACAACGCATAGATCTAGAGATTCCTGAATAAGTGAACCTTTTGAACCACTGCTAAATTCATGGGTTGGCAAAAAATAACTTGAGAAACTTAAATGTCTTAGTAGCCACAGAGGAAAAGAAAGCAAAAGAGATTCTCATAGTATCGGCGCTAGTGAAATGGGAGCAACTAAACTATGAACATGGGGTTGTGGGAGAGTAATACTTCTAAGCACCATAATGTTCTTGATCTATGAAGTACAAATGCTTCGTTTAGGTCAAAGTATTTATATTGGATATGATACACGTTGAATATTCGAGGATACTTGCTCATATTTAGTAGTCTATTTCTTGAAGTCTGGATGTGTCTTACATACGTTCATCCAAGATGGATTCACGGATACTCCCTATTTACCCATTGAAACGCCTTATGACTTTGAAGATATGTGGTAGTTTCTTAAGCATTATGGCAAAAGGATATTAAATGGGATGATTATACCCTATTTCTTGGAAATAGTTACTTCTAAGCAAACCATTTAGTTAAATATTGTTTTTGGTTGCTTTAATACTTTTGTTATGTTTATTTTTTGGGTATATCATGGTAAGACCATTTATGCTTTTTTTTAAAAAGTAATAATTGCTCACTTTTCAATTCCTACTAAATAATTTATTGAAAATTAAAATCATTAGATAATCACAAAAATGCATAGAAATATGATTTTAGAATATCTGAACCTTACTCCTATCCTATTTTTTTAGGTTTGTCATATTGCTGTGTCTGCATCGTACCTTCTATGTATCCCGAGTTTGTGTCCATGTTTCCTAGTTCTTGATCTATATTAGGTATCAAGTCATTAACATAGATTTGTTTCCAGCTATTGGCAACTGTATGCTCTGGTTTGGTTGCAC